CCTTCCCCTTCCTTCGTTCCTTTCTTCGCTTCGTCCTCCACTCACCTGCCCTCGCATATAAGTCATCTCTTTTTATATTTTTTGTTTGTTGAGACAGACGCTCGCCTCTGTGGCTGCAGGAGCTGGAGTGCAGCTCGGCCTCATCACAGCTCACTGCGAGAACCTAGCCGCCGGCTCCCAGGTTTCAGCGGACCTATTCTCGCTGCTTACAGCCTCAACACCTGAGTGATCAGGCTGACTATACAATGTGCACAGTGCCAGCATATATTTCTGTATTTTAGTAGAATGAGGTTAGTATCTAGTGTCAGGGCCAGGCTGATCTCGAACTCCTGACCTTAAGTGATCCTCCCACCTCAGCCTCCCAAAGTGCTGGGATTACAGGCATGAGCCACCGCGCCCGACCATTTTAGGTCACTTTCTAACAGTAGTGTAATGATTTCAAATTGCTTTACGAAGATTTTTGGAAATATATATATTGGGGGGAGGGAGGATAATATATGTTTTTCTAGCTAGCTCCAATAGGCTTATAGCCTGCCCCCTTAATAAGGTGTGAGGAGGAATAAACTGGAAACAGGTCTTCTCAGTCTTTTTTCTTGTAAACTAACATGTGTTCTATAGTTGATTTCCTACAAGTAAGTTACCTCCATCTTACCCTGCTCTCCAATTTTGGTAAAGGCTGTAGAGTGACTAACACATAACTTGAAAGCAGCCAGAGGCTGGGCGTGGTGGCTCACTCCTGTAATCCCAGCACTTTGGGAGGCTGAGGCGGACGGATCACCTGACATCAGGAGTTCAAGACCAGCCTGATCAACATGGTGAAACCCCGTCTCTACTAAAAGTACAAAATCAGCTGGTCGTGGTGGCGTCACCTGTAATCCCAGCTACTCAGGAGGCTGAGGCAGGAGAATCGCGTGAACCCAGGAGGCGGAGGTTGCAGTGAGCCGAGATGGCGCCTTTGTACTCCAGCCTGTGCAACAAGAACGAAATTCCGTCTCAAAAAAAAAAAAAAAAGCGAGAAGGCTGAGGTGGGAGGATCGTTTGAGCCTAGGAGTTGAAGACGAGTGTGGGCAGCATAGGGTGACCTTGTCTCCACAGAAAATTTGAAAAATTATCCAGGTGTGGTGGCATATGCCTCTGGTCCCAGCTACTCAGGAGGCTGTGGCAGGATTGCTTGAGCCTGGGAGGTTGAGGCTGCAGTAAGCCATGATCTTCACCACTGCACTCCAGCTTCGGCGACAGAGATTAAGACCCTGTCTCAGGGAAAAAAAAAAAAAAAAGCAAGACTATGTAGCTTTGCCAGTGCTAGTTGTGCTAACTTGGACAAATTAGTTCATCTTTCTCAAACTCCATTTGTTGTTAGATGTAGATTAAGAGATTAATAATTAAAAACATATTAATATGGAATGCACATGGAATGGTATCTGGTACATTGCATTATATAAGTGTTATATAATGCTACTAACTTACTTTTGACATTGTAACAAAATACCACAAGGGAAAATTCAGTTATAATTGATGAAAATTCAAATCAACAAATTACCTTACAACTTATTTACAACAAATTATTTGATGGATAATGATCTAGTGGTTGTTTTTGTTTTGTTTTGTTTTCGTCTGTTTGCTTTTAGAGACAGGGTCTCACCATGTGGCCCAGTCTGGCCTCAAGCTCCTGGGTTCTGGTGATCCTCCTGCCTTGGTCTCCCAAAATGCTGGGACTACAGGTGTGGGCCACTGTACCCAGCCTTAATAGACTGATACATATTTTTTATTTTACAGCTTATAAAATATTTTAAATTTGGTTTTCATAATTCTTCCAGGTAGATAATACGGATGACAGATAATTCAAGAGTCTTAAGAAATTAATTTGCTCTACTGTAGACAGCTATAATAGTAACAGGTTGAACCTGTTTTTTTGTTTTGTTTTTTTTTTGAGATGGAGTCTCACTGTGTTGTCCAGGCTGAAGTGCAGTGGTGCAATCTTGGCTCAATGCAACCTCCACCTCCCAGGTTCAAGCAATTCTCCTGCCTCAGCTTCCCCAGTAACTAGGATTACAGTTGCCCGCCACCACGCCTGGCTAATTTTTGTATTTTTGGTAGAGACAGTGTTTCACCATATTGATCAGGCTAGTCTCGAACTCCTGACCTCAAGTAATTCACCCACCTTGGCCTCCCAAAGTGTTGGGATTACAGGCGTGAGCCAGCGAGCCCGGCCTTAAACTTGGCTTATTATTCTTAATGCATGTTCCACATTTATATACAAAAGTAGCAGGCAGTCTCTGAAGAAGCAGGATAAGATTTCAAAAACTATGATGTACTACTGCTTAACTTTCTCTCTGCTTAACAGTTCTTACTGGAGCTTATTATTGATCTAAGTCTCCCTTAAAGTTAAGCCTTTCTTCCATGTTAGGTCGACATCCACAATTATTGTTTCAGATTTGAGCCTGGAACAGATGTAAGTAGACGGTTTGTAGCAGAGACTGATGTCTGGCTAAGCAAGCTTATTTCTTCCATTACTCACTGATGATGGATACAGAAAACTACTCAAGTCATACAGGCATCATCACAGGAGAGTAGATAACTATGTAAGTTGTCAAGAGACGACACCAGAGTCATGGCTGAGTCTGAGGAATAAAGCTGTTTCACAGGAAACTACCTAATGTTGTATTGTTACATTTTCAAAGTTCAAAGAAGAGACAATAATTGTAAGAAAACAATCCATGGGCATCATAACTAGTTTGCACCTGTCAGATCAAACGTGTGTGCATGCTTTCCTCTACCAACACTTAGAGAAATCTTAATTGTTTTACATATGTCATTATTCCCATTGCTGGTTTCCATATTTGGTTTTCTGTAAACTGACACAATACATTTATATAAAATCCAGATAAGATCTGTCAATTGTCACACTGCTGCTAAAACCCTTCAGGAGAGCATTAGATTAGTGTTCCCATCTATGAATATGGTATGAAGTGTGTTGTCTTAAAAAGGCATATTAATAAAAATTAACTATAGTTAAAAGATTAAAATGAACAATTATAATTTTTAAATCTAAAATAAATTTCGATAAAATCTGAAAATATAAAACTCTTATCTCAAAAGAATTGGGATTACAGGCGTGAGTCACCGCACCCAGTCTAAGAATAAATATATTTATAAGGCTTGTTTGGTAACATTATTGATATATAACCATAGATGTTATTCACCTATGTGTACTTGGTAAGGCCATTCCTATTCTGAAGACAAATGTATTCAGTATTACTCTTTGATTCACATTATACCCTTGGTAATGTTTTTACGATATTAATTGCACAGTGTTAGTTATGAGGCAGGCATGAAAAATTCCTTTAAAACATTAATTGTAAAAATTATCTATACCACCTGCACTCCTCCTTCAAAAGCCAGCTATGTATGTCTGGCTTGACATAGTTCCCTCCACTTAAAAAACGTGGGTAGGCCCAAAAGAAGAGTCTTGTAGCCTTCTACAATCTGATTTCCAGCTCTAGGCAGCCTGGACTGGCAGAAGGACAAGTTCTAAGAAAGCATCACGTATTTGTCCTTTTTCACAATGCTGATAAAGACATACCGGAGACTGGGTAATTTATAAAGAAAAAGAGGTTTAATGGACTCACAATTCCATGTGGCTGTGGAGGCCTCACAATCATGGTGGAAGGCAAAAGGCATGTCTTACATGGCAGCAAGCAAGAGTGAAAATGAGAACCAAGCAAAAGGGGTTTCCCCTTTTAAAACCATCAGCTCTCGTGAGACTTATTCACAACCGCAAGAACAGTATGGGGGAAACTGCCCCCATGATTCAATTAACTCCCACCAGGTCCCTCCCACAACATGTGGGAATTATGGGAGCTGCAATTCAAGATGAGATTTGGGTAAGAACACAGCCAAACCATATCACACCATTATCTAAAATAACTTCCAATGTATTAGTTGATATTTAGATAATTTACATTTCCCTTTTAAAATACAAACACCACTAGCCCCTGCCCCTGGTGAATGAGGGCTATCAATACCTCACTATGAATTACAGTAAGATACTTAAATCATGTCTTTTAAGAGCTGATTTTTTTTTTTTTTGAGACGGTATCTTACTCTGTTGCCCAGGCTGGGGTGCAGTGGCACGATCTTGGCTCACTGCAACCTCCACCTTCCAGGTTCAAGCAATTCTCCTGCCTCAGCCTCCCGAGCTGGGATTACAGGCATGCACCACCATGCCCAGATAATTTTTGTATTTTTAGTAGAGACAGGGTTTCACTATGTTGGGCAGGCTAGTCTTGAACTCCTGACCTCATGATCCACCCGCCTCAGCCTCCCAAAGTGCTGGGATTTCAGGCATGAGCCACCGTGCCTGGCTTAGAGCAGATATTTTTAAAAGAGACAGGGCAGGTGAAGGAGAAGAGATAACTTGGGGACTAGCAGGTAAGGCCTCGGTGAGATGCCCCAGGTGAGGCAGCTTGACAGCTAGAGAGGAACATGGGAGGACACCAAAGACTGACTTCATCCATCTTCCAACTTCAGAATTTTTATAAGATACTCAACTAACAAGTACATCCCCCTCAACCCCTCAACTCATCCTGGGGCTGCCATTGGCTAAATAACCTGATGCTTTACGTAAGTCACAAATAGAGGGCATATTACCATATAAGCTGAAGCATTTGCCTCACTATGTCATGTGTATATATTGTATCTATGTAATAATATAAATGGATCTAACATTTATCTCTGATGTTAAGAATGCTTTAGTAGGCTATGACACTTGGATAGCTATCAATCCAATTTTCAATACTTCTGAGAAGAAACAGCAAGAATTTATTGTGTACTTTCTACCCTTCCAGCAGTCTCTTCCACTCCTCCCCTCCAACCATGCAATTTTTTAACATTAGCAGTAAAAGCAAATGACAGATTGCACTTCAGGATTGTATACAATGTGTACACATGTTCTGCTCAGACACATAGATCTAAAAACATAAATCAACAACCATGTGTTATTAGCAAATACTATTTATTAATTAAGTAGTAGTATGAAAACAAGGAAGAGAATTAGAGTTGCAGGCTTAAATTTCTTTTAACTGCTTGAGCTATCTGCTCCAAAACATCTTATATTTTTTCAAATAATTAGCTCTTGATAATGAATTACTCGTAGTTAAGATCTAGAAAGCTACTTGTCTTCCAGTTGCTAATAGGATGGTACTGAAGCAGTCTTGTAGTTCTTTGAATTTAGTGCCCTAAAATTGGAAAGTAAACACACATTAATTTTTTAGGTGCAAGTCAAATACCTGTACATTTTTTTTTTTTTTTTAAAGACAAGGTCTCGCTCTGTCGCCCAGGCTGGAGGGCAGTGGTGCAATCACAGTTCACCGCAACCTCAACCTCCTAGGCTTTTAAGCAATCCTCCTACCTCAGCCGCCCAAGTATCTGAAGCTACAGGCATGTGCCATCATGCCTGTCTAATTTTTATACTTTTTGTAGAGACAGAGTTTTGCCATGTTGCCCAGGCTGGTCTTAAAATCCTGGGCTCAAGTGATCTACCTGACTTGGCCTTCCAAAGTGCTGAGATTACACACGTGAGCCACCAAGCCCAGCCTATCTGTACATTCTTGTAAAAACTTTTTTCAATAAAAAATTTAAAACTAATATATTTTGTAACATATTAACAATCCAAAACCAAAATTTTCTCATCAACTTAAAACACTTCGTTTTATTAAAGCCATATATACTTAGAAGATACAATTTAAGAAGGAAAACAATTATGGAATCAATTTTAAATACTACTGTCCAAAGGTTTACTGGTTTTAAAATTAGGGTAAAAGAAGCTAGAACCTGATTCAGGATAATGATTTGATAATGTATTATAAAAAGAAAGAGATTTCAATAAATTCTAAATTACTAAACGGAAGATAAAATTCAAATTTTTCAAAAGAACAATCACTTATTCTTCTCTTTCTCCCTGCTCCAAACATATAGGCTACAGCATCATAGAACTTTCTCAGGTTTATTCTCTGCAGAGAAAAGAACACACAGAAAACCTGAAATACTGCCCCCCTTCCCACACACAAAGTTCCATCTATCAGATGGTGGGTGTGCTGAGGAAAATTCTAATTTTACCATCTGTTTATTAGATGAAATTGGGCAGAGTAGTGATAGGTGGTTTGCCAGAGGTTAAAGGTTAAAAGGATAGGAAGAAGCTCCATATCTTCCTGTTTCTAAGTCCAGTACTTTACCAACTAGCCCACAGAGAATAGTATTCCTGTAGACAACAGTTTAAATTACACACATTTACCCTAACATCTAGGGGAATCGTGGTTCAGTGACACAGATCAGTTTTTGTTAATTCAGAAAATGTGAATTTTGCTAGGTCAAAATCAATTTTCCTTACTTATTCCACAAAATTGTCACCAAAGTGCTACAAAGAGTAGATAAAATACGCAAAAATTGGTCATCATCGTCATTGATATTAGCTTATTATAATAAAACCCGTATGTGTTAAGCTACCATTCAAAATGTATATCCGGCCGGGCACAGTGGCTCATGCCTGTAATCCCAGCACTTAATCTCAGCACTTTGGGAGGCTGAGGTGGGAGGATCACCTGAGGTCAGGAGTTCGAGACCAGCCTGACAAAACACGGCAAAACCCCGTCTCTACTAAAAATACAAAAATTAGCTGGGCATGGTGGTGGGCGCCTGTAATATCAGCTACTTAGGAGGCTGAAACAGGAGAGTTGCTTGAACCTGGGAGGAGAAGGTTGCAGTGAGCCGAGATCACGCCACTGCACTCCAGCCTGCACTCCAGCCTGGGTGACAAGAGTGAAACTCCGCTCAAAAAAGGAAAAAAAGACAAAATGTATTTCCAAAACCTGTTCCTTCAAACCCATATATAGTATCAGCAAGACATGGTAGACTTGGAAAGCTTGAATTGGCTAATTATTGCAGCTAAGAAGGACTCTTCATTTCACCTACATTACCTTACTTATAATAGCATCTCATACATTAGTGACTTTGTGCTAACTGCATAGTTTAACTTCTATTTGATGGTATCATAGCAATTTAGAGCTTTTGTCAAAGTAGTATTGGAGTCTGGGGGGTGGTTATTCTATTTTACATAAAATGAGAATGTACTATGCTTCCAGTTAATTGCAATGACACTATATTACTGAAATTGAATTCATAGGAAAGACACTGGTTCTAACACTCCTAATGAGATGCATGCATGGCTTAATACAGATGTCATAGTATTGGAGGCCACTGAAATACAGCATTCTGTAGTTAATGCTAGTGACACACACAAGTGCTCAAGAAAAAACTTCACTTGACAAATGCTTTATGCACTTGCCATTTGGGAAATACTGAGATAAATGTTTTGAAAAAATATAAAATCAAACATAGCAATAGGTAGCAAAATGACTATCATATAAGGTATAACATATATGAATGACTATAACACATAAAAGACAGGTTCAAGATAGAAGTTCAGTAGAACTCCGTCTGAGGATATTAGCAGACTTTAGAGAAGAGATGATAGAAGATAGAAGGCAGAATGAACAACCTTACCAGCAGTGTAGTAGAGTAGGTTAAAAAAAGTACATGTATTTCATAAGGCTCAAGAAAAAGATGCACGAAAATAACAAGAAAGACAACAGGAAAGCAGGTTATGGCCACCTTACAAGGGGCCTTCAGTTTTTTAAGCAAATGTTTGAAACTAGATGGCATCTCAAGCTAATTAGTCCCCATGAAACCAGAAGATAACTTCAATTTTTTTTTTTAGAGAAAACACATCTTAAAGTACATAAAATACAGTAAAATCATGTATATCACAAAAAATGTTGTGGGCTGTAGATATTATGTTTGAAGTACCAAACTGTAAACATTTTAAATTTTCCTTATTTGAGATCATTTTTTCTAATCTTGCAAACTCTCAACATAAAATTTAGTGCTAGGTAGCCCCTGAATGATGTAAAGCTTAAGATGTCCAGAAATTTTTTTTCAACTTAAGCAACGGACTAGATTAAAATAATTCAGTCAGAAAATTGGATACATACTGAAGCTCTAAATGGATGTTGAGTGAGAGAATCAAGTGAAAAAAAGCCATTGTTAGGTATCCAGGACCACAGAATCTTCTCAGCAGTCTCATGAGCAAGAGGAGTAGTACAAGTGTGAACATCATCCAAGTTAGGGCACCCCGAATTATCGAAGTTTTAAGACAGTATCAACTTACTATGAAGTCGTCTTTCCCAAAAGAATTCAGGTATTCGAAATCATATTTCTGGTTAGGTAAAAGTTAACACATAGCACTGGTATTTTTAATTTATAAAAATGTTAAGTAATTTGTCTTTAGCTGATTAGTTCTGCTGGTAAATACATTGTTTCAAAGAACTTAACAAGTAGTCAATCAGAAATACACCTTTGTGCGGGGCATGGCGGCCCACGTCTGTAATTCCAGCACTTCGGGAGGCCGAGGCAGGCAGATCACCTGAGGTCGGGAGTTTGAGACCAGCCTGACCAACATGGAGAAACCCCATCTCTACTAAAAATACAAAATTAGCCAGGCGTGGTGGTGCATGCCTGTAATCCCAGCTACTCGGGAGGCTGAGGCAGGAGAATCGCTTGAACCCGGGAGGCAGAGGTTGTGGTGAGCCGAGATCACGCCATTGCATCCCAACCTGGGCAATAAGACGAAACTCTCTCTCAAAAAAAAAAAAAAAAAGAAAAGAAAAAGAAAGAAAGAAATACACCTTTGTAATAAAGGGCAGTTTTATTTTTGTGAAATAATACTAATGTTAGTATTATAATTACTGTCTCCAAGTGATAAAGATGTACTACTGTTTTTATAAAAGAATGTAAATTTAGTGTCCTTTAGACACAGAATAACTGATTGTTTTTACTCCAAAGAACTTTCTCAGTTTTGAGAGTATACAAAACCTGGATAAAATTGGAGTTTTAAGATACTTTGATAATAAACTTTTTCTCAAAGCATTATAGTTACATTGGCATTTTTAATTAACCAGAATATTTCCTATTTTCACAGGTTATCTCAAAGTTAAAGACAGAACTCTCAAGCATCATTAGGATTCCTCATGACTGCTAAGAAACTCCCTTGGAGAAATAGCCAATGTTAACATGTACTGCTAACTGAACGATGAATATCTAACTAGTCTCAAATGACTCATAATGAGGCGCTATAGATTTGCTTTAAAAATTACGCACAGAATGGTTTGGTGCAGATAACTTAAGCTTTTTCAGCTGGGAATTTCAGAAGATGGGGGAGAACTTCTACAAGGGAGGGCAGGTACCTGTATGTGGAGGAAGCTGAGATGTCTAAAGTCACCCAAATTTGTCATTTAAAAAAGTATATATAAATAAAAGATACTATTTTGAAGAAGTATAAAAGTTGGAAACAATTGTTTCTTGGTTTGTAAGCTAAGCATAAGGTTTTCCCACCTTCTGACATTCAAAGTCATTATACTTTCAACTGGTCTGCTTTTTGGTCCACCTGGTGGGTGGAAAATCTTATCGTTTTTGCCAGAAATAGTTGCCAATTTAGCCATATAAGGGTCAGCAGAATGTGATGGGTAAGGATCAAATGTTCCTGCCTTCATTCCACCAGGCTGCAAAGAAAAATGAGACAACTTAATGTGATTTTGTAAAATGCCTCTACAAAATTAGCTTGTGAAGAAGTTCATACATATTTTTGTAGTCTGCAGAGTTGGTTTTAAAGAAGATGATACTGTTTAATTCAAACACCACCAGAAGGTGTCCCTACCACCAACTTTATAGGGTCAAAACACCATAATCCAAAAGCTCTCAATAAAAATGACAATATTTATAGTAAGGTAACAGTCTAAACTACTGCCAAGCATTAATATTTTAGAGTTTATCAGGCCAGGCTATCACTTAGTTAGAAAGTGAGTCTATTAGTAAGGGAAATCCTAGGTCAGATGTATTTTGATAGAGAATGAGGAACAAGGAGTGTGGCACAACATGAGTTTACTAAATGCCAGTCAATGATGGAGAAGATACTTTAAAAAAAAGTAATAAGCGGCTGGGCGCGGTGGCTCAAGCCTGTAATCCCAGCACTTTGGGAGGCCGAGACGGCTGGATCACGAGGTCAGGAGATCGAGACCATCCTGGCTAACACAGTGCAACCCGGTCTCTACTAAAAATACAAAAAATTAGCCAGGCGTGGTGGCAGGCGCCTGTAGTCCCAGCTACTCGGGAGGCTGAGGCAGGAGAATGGTGTGAACCCAGGAGACGGAGCTTGCAGTGAGCTGAGATCCGGCCACTCCAGCCTGGGCGACAGAGCGAGACTCCATCACAAAAAAAAAAAAAAAAAAAGTAATAAGCAATAGCACAAAGAAATAGAAAGCAACAGGAAAATGTAATCTACTTTACTTTTCTTGTAGTCTTTTAAGAGAAGTCAATCAAAATATTTTTCAACCTGTACACAACACAGAAATATTTGCTTTGACTTCTTAAACTGATTTGACAGAATTTTAAACTTTATATTCTATATAATCACAGGAAAATTCTATAGAATCATAATAACTCATTTAATTAGGCACTCTTGTAGTATCTATGCCAAATATACATGAAGATTTAATTCATTTGAAAGATACCATTGTAAGTTTTCAAGTTTTCCAGATTGAAGACACATGGATTATTTTAAACATCACAATAACAAGAAAACTTAAGAAAGTTTAAATAAATTAAAGTATAAAAGCAAAATGAATGAATTAAAAATAGAAAAACATAAATAAGCCCAAGCGATGCTTTAAAAAGTAAATTAATAGCTATATCTGTAATAGAATTAAGGTTTTCCCACCTTCTGACATTCAAAGTCATTAATATCAAAAATACAAAATAGGCCAGGCGCAGTGGCTCACGCCTGTAATCCCAGCACTTTGGGAGGCTGAGGCAGATGGATCACCTGAGGTCAGGAGCTCGAGACCAACCTTACCAATATGGCGAAACCCTGTCTCTACTAAAAATACAAAAATTAGCCATGCATGGTGGCACACGCCTATAATCCCAGCTCTTAGGAAGGCTAAGGCAGGAAAATCACTTGAATTGAACCTGGGGGGCAGAGGATGCAGTGAGCCAAGATCGTGCCACTGCACTCCAGCCTGGGCAACAGAGCAAGACTCCGTCTCAAAAAAAAAAAAAAAAAAAATATATATATATATATATATACATATAAAATATTTCTGCAAACCCCAAAAACCTGAATGAAATGACTGATTTTCTAAGAAAATATAAATAATCAACATTGACCAAAAAGAGATAGAAAACCTACACAAAACAGATGGAGAAAGACATGTAAGAATTGAGAAAATTAGCAGAACCATCCTGCAATATGGCTAAGCTCAGAATGCTTCACTGTGTGAACGCTTTCAAGTCTTCAGACAGCCGACATTTCTAGTGCTATCAAACTGCTATAGAACATAGAAAAACAAAGAAATTACCCCATTGCTTTCAGATGCCTGCATCCACTTGTACCAAAATAGAACAAGGCATATACATAGTCTTAAAAATACAGACCAATCACACTTCCAATTATTCTTGCAAAAATGCTTAATAAAATATTAGCAAATAAAACACAGTATTGTATTTTAAGATTAATACAACACAGCCAAGTGAGATTCATTCCAGGAAATATTGTTATTCAGCTTATGACAAGTAAAAAGTGGGGAGTGAAGGGATAGTCTAAACAGATTACACCATTTGATAAAATTCAACATATATTCAATAAAATTCAGCATATGTTCCTGATTTATTCCTATTTTTGGCATCTATAAAAATGAAAAACTAAAGGTATCCCTATTAAAGTCAAGATTAAGGCAAGGATGGCCACTACTGCTGGCTTAAGGAATTGGGCATGAGTGTGACATAAAAAATACAAATATATGAGAAAGATGGGGAGCAAAATTATTTGCAGATAATATAGAGCAGTAAAGCAAAAGAGAATCAAGAAAATAACCATCAGAACACAAAGTTTAATGAAGTGGCCAGTTATTTTTAAAAAATCAAATGTTTTTTATAATGACAAATAATATGAAGGAAAATATGTTGGGAAAAAAACCTTATTGACCAGAACCTTAAAATAACGAGGAATAAATATAAGATATAATATAAGCTATGCGATGTAAAATACAAAACTCTACAAGCGAGATCCAAGGTTAAGTGGCTTACTCCTGATTCTGAAGATTCAAATTATAAATATGTTAATATATCCAAAAATACAAAGAGTAAATTTTATCACAAAATATCAAAGTTCTTTCTCTTTTGGGAACTTTAGAAAATAATTCTGAAGTTCTGGAGAATATGACAGAATAACCAGCACAACTTTTTTAAAGAGTAAGAAGAGACTAGACCACTCACTATTAAATATAATAGAACTTAAAAGGATTTTTTGGGCCAGAAATAGACAAATAGATTAGTCAAATGGAATGAAAACTCAGAAACATACCTTCAAAAATAAGAATTTTGGTTTGATAAAAATGGCATTTCAAAGTAATGGTGTTAAAAATGAATTATTCCATCAGTCATATCGGGAACAACTTTATTTTTAAAAAATCAGTTCTATTAAAGTCTAATTCACCTGCAATAAACTATACCCATTTAAAGTGAACAATGCTATGAGTTTTGGCAGATGTCTACACTCTTGAAATGACTACCACAATTCAGACACAGAACATTTCACCCCCTGCCCAAAGTTTCCTCATGCCCCCAAACTAAATAAGAGCTGGATTCTTACCTTACTGTTTACATCAAAATGCATTTTAGATAAATATTTAAATGCAAAAGGATATGACTAATAGAAGAAATTAAGAAGCCACATTATTCTAATATCAGTGGTAAAGACAGCCACTCTGAAAATGACAAATGAAAATGATAAATCTGACTACATCAAATCATGAAATTCCTGAACAGAACAAAACATCATAACCAAAGATCCAACAGATTAAAAAAATTATTTCCAACACAAATAACAAAATGAGAGTAGTACCCTTCATACATGAGATCTTACAAGAGATCTCACAATATTGATCTCACAATATTAAAACATAAACTTTGAAATACAAAGTCTGCAAGAAAAACAGGCAATTTACAGAAAAAAAAGCATTGACTAAGGTTTATACACTGCTGGAGCATTTTAATTTTTATTCTCACTTGTTAACTTCTGCAGTAGGAAGATAGTTAATTTTAATTGCCATTTTAAAAACTAAAAGATGGTTTGGCTTTTTATGATTTTAAGAAAAACTAGACCTAGGGTCTAGAGAAGCACTTCAAAAATTCATTGTGAATTCACCAGGCGTGGTCGCATACTCCTGTAATCTCAGCTATTCTGGAGGCTGACGCAGGAGAATCGTTTGAACTCGAGAGGTGGAGGTTGCAGTGAGCCTAGATCATGCCACTGCACTCCAGCCTGGGCAACAGAGCGAGACGTTGTCTCAAAAAAAAAAAAAAAAAAAAAAAAAATTCAAATACATTTGAAGAAACTAATAATTACTTCATGACAAGAGCTTCATTATCCCCTACACTATTCATACTTGGTGATTTCATGTAATTTTGTAAAAATGGGTCCCATGATTCTTGGTATCAGTACGAACAAAAGTTTATTATTTATATGGGGAAAAAATCATTTGACAGCAAGAGACAGTATTTCTTTATAATGCTTAATTTTTTTCATCCTAAAATTGTAAACTTGCCTTTTTACCAGGAGAAGAAGGTTTAAAAGTGTTTGAAATTGATTCTTTCTTCTCTTCTTTTTTAATTGGTGGTAAAGGTTCCTCAGAAAAATAAGGATTAGCATCAAAATAGTCCCTTGGGTGAAGATTTAACTTAAACGGTGCTCCTTTAAGTAAACGATGGTGTTCTTCATTCGCTTTCTGTAAATTAAAGAGTTTGAAATTACACAGCATAAATTTCACAAATTGAAAATAACCCAGAGTAAAATCTTTTACATTGTAATATAAACATGATTCTTAAATCCATCCTGCTCCATGTACTTTTTTAAAACGTTAATTTGCTACGTTCTATTTTTATGCTACGAAAGATATGCCTACTTGCAAACATAACTACGCTTATTCATTTTGGATACAAATTTATTTGTGGTACTGAGACCTTATCACCTGAAGGAATCTATATTAACTATGTGGGCAGCATGATGCAGAATAACAAGAGTTGTCTCTAGTTCACGCCCTTCCTGCTTTGTAGCATTTCTCAGAGATTCTGGGAAAGTTACGTTTTAGTGTCACATCTTCTTCAACTGTGAATGCGGACATTATCATTCCCCCCGTAATGCTGTTGTAAAGACCACATGAGACTATGTAGATATATGATTTTATATGTGTATATATGAGATATGTATATATAACATTTTTATAATTTTTAAAAATATATGTATATATGAGATTACGTATATATCTCATATATGTATATTTGAGATATATACATATATGTATATATAACATTTTTACAATTTTTAAAAATATTTCATAGGTATACATGAGATTATGTATATCTCATATATCTGTATATATGAGATGTAGATATATATGAGATATGTATATATGTATATATTACATTTCTATAATATTTATTGCTATCTAGTATTCAAAGCAAAACAGCAGTCATGTTTTCCTCTTATGTTATAATCTTTTCTCTCAGACAATATTAAGTATAAAAATCACTGGGTATTAATAAAGTAGCAAAAATCAAATTATGAAATATAGATTCAAAAAAACAACTACACAGTGAATATTGATACTTTTTTTCACTTTTGCAAATATAAAATCTGGTATTTCATCATTCAACAAACTGAACTGCAAACACTTGATAAATGAAATCTAAAATAGGTAGTTACTTGAGAGAAGACTAACTTTCACTACTAGGAACCCACTGTAGCACTTTCAGAATCCTTTCCTCTTGAGGGATTTTTCTCTCGCCCTTGCTTGTCCTCTTCCTTTCTCCAGCTTGCGGGACATTCATTCATTCTTGGTGATCTGCTCTCCACTCTTCCATATCACAACGATGGTACTGAAAATTTATTCTATTGATCTTTTTGGGCAGTGTTCCGCAAAATTTAGTTGTCATGGGAATCACTTGATAATTTATTTAAATTACAAATCACCAAGCCCTTCCCTCAAAGATTTCTGATTGCATTGGTCTGCTGTATGGTCCATTAATCTGCGGTTTTAACAGTCACCCTCAGTGATTCTCATGTGTGATTATAATGTCATGTTTTAGGATCCCTTTTTGCTAGAGCATGGTCACCTTTTACCAGAAAAATACTGTATTTGTCTTACCAACCCCTGCCCTAGAATGTTCAGTTGAGTACTGGTCAGCAGATGTATGAGAAAACTATTCAAAGCCCAGAGAAGAACCACCTGAAAGACTGTGAGGTGACGGTGTCTGGCTCTCACACAGAACTGGGAATGGTGCTGGTTGCCATCAGCTGTGCAAGAAAACGTCATAATTCACAGGGCATCTGCCGGCATACCTAGAAAGGTCTTGCCTCAGTAGTGGGGAATAACTAGCCTTAGATTGAGCATAGCTCCTATCACACCCAACAAATCTTAAATGCAAGACCTGAAAAGATAAAAACCATTTCTAAGTAATGTGACAGCATTCCAGAACAAAGCCCAAGAACATTTATAAGAATACAAGAATATACAGCACTCAACAAAGTAAAATCCTCAGTATTTGACATCCAGTGAAAAAAAAACTGCCAGTAATTCAAAGTAGCAGAATATGACCCCCATACTGAGAAGAAAAAACAACTATTTAAAATCAACCAAGAACTAATATAGATGTTAGCATTAACAGAAAAGGGCATGAAGACAGTAAGTATATTCTGTTATATTCTGTATATTCTGCTCAAAAAATTAAGTAGAGACAGGTAAGACATTAAAAATACTCAAACTTCTAGAGAGCAAAACCACAATGTATGAGATTAAAAACACACTGGTTGACATTAACAGCAGATTGGACATTACAGAAAAATAGATTACTGAGTTTGAAGATGCAGCAATAAAAACTAACCAAAATGAAATACATAGAAGGAAAAAAGGACATTTTTTAAAAGTTAATAGGGCGTTGGTAAATTGTGGGACAATTTCAAGAAGCCTAATACACATGTAACTGGAATTTCTGAAGGGGAAGAGAAAGACAGATAAAAATATCTGAAGAAATAATAACTGGAAATAGTATAAATTTGATTTGAAAAACTATAAACCCATAGATCCAAGAAGCTCAATAAACCTCAAGCACAAGAAGGATGAAAGAAAACAACACAAAGTCACATCATAATCAAACTGCTTAAATGAGTCATAAAAAGAAAAAAAACTTGCCAGAGAAAAGGACACATTGCACACAGAAGAATAAAAATGAGCATGACAACAGGTTTCTCATCAGAAACAATTCAAGCAGGAAGACAGTGGAGTAACCTTTTTTTAATACTGAAAGAAAAAGCAAGATACATTTTTCAAAATTAGTTTTAGGATATTAGTAAATCTAGGAATATAAAATTTCTGCCTTATGTATAAGTTCTAAAAATGAGGATAAAAGAGCTTTTTCTGTTAAGAAAGTATCTTATGCCCAATAAGTATAGGGTAAAAGATTAATTACTGAGCCACTATAAAATTCCACTGTATGTAGTTGTGTAGTATGTACGTATTATTATTCCTACAGATGAAAATTAGTTTATATACAATTTTATAAGAACCAAGGTTTCTGCCCAATTTAATGGAAAACTGTTCCTGGGTTTGGACATGCCTGTCAGCAAAATGGTCATTATTCTCTCACATTCTACCGGTATTTAAAATTACCATAGCAAAACTGTTACAGCCTGCGTGCCTATAAAAACAAACACAAAAAGCTATAAAGTGATTGCCATTTAATGCTTTAGGTCCAAATTAACTTGACTTTTCATTACTACCAGCTTTCTTTATGTTATGGTGATATTGTGAAATTCTGTTCGTATGGTTCTAAAATTTATAAGGGTTCCTTTATTTATTTACAAATAGACATTCCCCATATAAAGGAACCAGTCTCATTATAAGTCAAATATGGTACACAGTGAGTGTAAGAGGCATATGCTAGTAAATTTCAGTTTTTATCTCTGCCATTTAATAAAGTGAGCAGTTTTCTCCTATCCTTTCCTCTGTCTCCTCATAGGATTCATCCATTCTCTAACCTCCACTTTTTCCCATCACCCCTCCACTCCTCCATCCCATTCGCTCATCGTAATGGCTTCTTGATCAGCCCAAAAGTATTACCACTATTTTTGCAGGCACAGATAGTAGGGTGTGTTGGGAATATGGCTAAGGGTCAGGATATAACTCTTTATTTAAAATAGAACATAGTTGATCAGGCCAGGCTAATAGAAGTTTCGCAGCTAGTTTAGAGAGATGTAAAATAGATGTGGTAAACCATAGCAAGAGATAAAATTCATCCTGGAAGGAGCTGAGAGGATATACAGCAAGATATGAAAATCTAATAGAACAGTAAAATTATCACAATTCATAAACATGAGTTTGCCACTGCCCCAGTGATACCAATAGATAGAACAAAACAAAATTAGATCTCAAGTGAATTATTATCATTATTACTATTATTACTGAAACAGAGTCTCGCTCTGTCACCCAGGCTGGAGTGCAGTGGCGCGATCTTGGCTCACTGTAACCTCTGCATTCTGGGTTCAAGCGTTCTCCTGCCTCAGCCTCCTGAGTAGCTGGGATTACAGGCATGTACTACCACGCCCAGCTAATTTTTGTAAGATTAGTAGAGACGGGGTTTCACTATGTTGGTCAGGCTGGTCTCCAACTCCTGACCTTGGGATCTGCCCATCTCCGCCTCCCAAAGCACTGGGATTACAGGCATGAGCCGCTGCACCCAGCCTCAAGTGAATTATTAATATCGAGTTAACTAAATAAAAGAAAGGTTGAAAAATTCAAAACAAATTTTTTACCTTATAATTTAGTTTTGCTGCATCATAGAAGTCAGCAGAGTGTGAAAACTGTTTACCTATGGTAATATTTGCATAGCTAAGGAAGCAAAGTAAGTAATGGTGACTTCAGAGTTCAGAAATTTAATTTTTCAAAATTTCAAAACAAACTATAAGACAAGGTATTAAAAATATCTTACCCATATCCAGTTCCTTTCTTTCCTGGGTTTGTGTATAAATTCTTTCCAGGTGCCTTATATTTTTCTCGAGGTTTTGACTGTGCGCTGAAAAATGGGACTGGACCACCTATTGTTCCATAGTAGCTTCCTAAGCCACATCTTAAATACAATTTTTTGGTGTTTTAAAAGGAAGAGGTTAAAATAGCAAATTTTAAGTCTATTTTACCATAATTTTTAAAAAGATTGGGAAAAAGAGAAAAAAATGCTAGTTTTAATCTAATTTCATTTTCCTCATTCTTCAGTCACAGATTTTGATGTGAGATACGTTTTCAATATTTGTATTATTTTAAACATTCTATAAAAATAAAACTGCGTAATCCTTAGGAAGTTAGAATCATTCCCATTAATTCAGTTAACTGTAACAATAAACAGAGTCTTTTGTGTTTTCAGATTAATTTATGGGCACTTTATGGCAAGTTAGCTAATAAATACATCTGAATATCCATCCACAAGAAACTACACTTCCAAAACAAATATTTAAGACTGCTGTTTCCACTACTGATGGAAAGTGACTCAGGGAATTTGGGTGCTAATTTTCTTCTGTTTGGTTTATATCTCATAACTTTACTGCAGAAAAAATTAACCAAATATTTTCTTTTCTTCCATTTTAATGTTAAATTTTCTGGGCACACAGTATCTATGCAAAATCATTAAAGTGTTTACTATCCAGCACTTTCACAGATTTTTTGTTAAAATTTCCACAATAAGGATAACTATTGTTAGCGACAGTCATAGTCTCTAATTCTTAAGTTACCATTGAAGCAAACAAATTTTAATAATCAGAAAAAGGTCTACAAGACAAATGAAACCTTATTACTATCAAAACTTGACACTGTTCATACATCTGAGTTAAAAATTTCAAAAACTTGAAAGACATCAACATTGATTGCTTATTATCAATACTTTCAGTCTACAAATGGTAGGAAAGCATATTTCAATTAATCCCTCTTTATGAACCTATGGAATGAAATTCTAAAATACAACAAGGAAATAGAGCAGGGATAATGCAGAGAAAGGAGAACTATTCACATACAGGCATAATTTACCCAGAGCGTGATTTAACGCAAGCATTAAAAGTCATTCTATTTAGAATTTATTAAATGCCTACAGTTCTGGAGGTGGGTGTGGTGGCTCACGCCTGTAATCCCAGCACTTTGGGAGGCTGAGGTGGGTGGATCACCTGAGGTCAGGAGTTTGAGACCAGCGTGGCCAACATGGTGAAACCCCATCTCTACTAAAAATACGAAAAACTAGCTGGGCGTGGTGGCCTGTGCCTGTCATCCCAGCTACTTGGGAGGCTGGGGCAGGAGAATCTCGCTTGAACCTGGGAGGTTGAGATCGCAGTGAACCGAGAGAGTGCCACTGCACTCCAGCTTGGATGACAGAGCCAGACTCCATCTCACATACATACATATATACATAAATAAATAAATAAATAATGCCTATGGTTCCATAATTTGGTGTTGAATAAATTTCTGTATAAGGGCTTCTTATTTATAACACCAGTCTCCCTTTTTGGAAACACTTTCTGTATCCACTAAATTATAGATGTTTTTCACATATCTGTGAATTTTTTTTAAAAAAGGAAACCTAGTCTAACTATAAAACTGTTATTATTTCTTGGCTGACAGATGAATATAAGCATATTATAAACTAATGTATCAAGGTAGCAATTCCCAATTATTACCACATGAGTCAAAGTTTATTACAGGCAGGAGAAAAGACTGAAAAATAGGAAAAAGTTATTTCACATATTACATGAAAAAGAAAGTAGTGACAAAAGGAAAAAAATCACATTTCTAAATTTATATCTAAGAAAGTGAAAAAGTTCAAGAAACAGTAATAATAATAATAAACAATTCAAATCTATCCAAAGTGTCGAAATGTAGAAAAAGATGAAATTAAAGAAAAAAAGAAAATCCTCACTCTTTTTTTTTTCAGACAAGGTCTCACTCTGTTGCTCAGGCTGCAGTGCAGTGGTGCAATCCCAGCTCACTGCAGCCTCAAACTCCCGGCTCGAGCGTTCCCCGCAACCTCAGCCTTCTGAGTAGCTGGGACTAAAGGCATGCATCACCACGCTGGCTTAATTTTTGTGTATTTTGTAGAGATGGGTTTTTGTCATATTTCCCAGACTGGTCTCAAATTCGTAGACTCAAGCAATCCATCCACCTCAGCCTCCCAAGGTGCTGGGATTACAGGCACGAGCCACCACACCCACCGAAAATCCTGACTCTTTTTTTGCTTTGTTGTTTTGTCTTTGAGACAGAGTCTCTGTTGCCCAGGCTGGAGGCACGATCTTGGCTCACTGCAGCCTCTGCCTTTTGGGTTCAAGTGATTCTCCTGCCTCAGTCTCCCGAGTAGCTGGGATTATAGGTGCCTGCCACCACGCCCAGCTAATTTTTATATTTTTAGTAGAGATGGAGTTTCGCCATGTTGGCCAGGTTGGTCTCAAACTCCTGACCTCAGGTAATCTGCCCATCTCAGCCTCCCAAAGTGCAGGGATTACAGGCGTGAGCCACCGTGCCCGGCCAAAAATCCATTGAGACAATAATTTTGGCTGACTTTGCCTACTAGAATTAGAAGGAAGTATAAGTTATACAAAGTAGTTTTACTAGTCTCAAAAAATACAGTAAATAAGCACAAAATTAGACTTCAGTTATCATCTATCAAATTAATAAATTGAGAGAGTCAAGGCTATTGAGAGTGAATGAACAATACCTTTTTTTTTTTTTTTTGAGATGGTGTCTCACTCTGTCACCCAGGCTGGAGTGCAGTGGTGTGATCTCGGCTCACTGCAACCTCAGTCTCCGGGGTTAAAGCGAGATTCTCCTGCCTCAGCCTCCCGAGTAGCTGGCACTACAGGTGCGTGCCACCATGCCCAGCTAATTTTTTGTATTTTTAGTAGGGACGGGGTTTCACTGAACATTACGTTTTAAGTCTCAGTTATATAACATTACATTGACTTCATGGTCTAATGTTAAACTAATTTAAAGGGAACATTGACAGTTGTCATAACTAAGATACTGTTAAACCTCATGAGTATATCTTCACAATAATTTAAAAATAATGTATTTTTGATCAATTATTTTCTTCATCAGAAAAGAATTTCTGGCCAGGTATGGCCCAGAACCCTCCTCCACTTGAACCCAGGAGGCAGAGGTTGCAGTGAGCCAAGATCATGCCACTGCACTCCAGCCTGGGCAACAGAGCAAGACTCCAACTGAAAAAAAAAAAATTATCCTAATTCCACAATTTTTTTTTTCTTTTTCTTTTTCTTTTTTTTTTTTAGACAAGGTCTTGCTTTGACATCCAGGCTGGAGTGCAGTGGCTCAATCATAGCTCACTGTAACCTCCAACTCCTGGGCTCAAGGGATCCTCTCACCTCAGCCTCCTGAGTAGCTGGAACTAGAGGCACATGCTACCACACCCAGCTAATTTTTTAACTTTTGTAGAGATGGGGTCTCACTATATTGCCCAGGCTGGTCTCAAACTCCTGGCCTCAAGCATTCCTCCTAGCTTGGCCTCGAAAAGTGCTGGGATTATAGGCATGAGCCACTGCACCCAGCCTTACATTTTTATTTATACTTCGTTAACAGCAGAAAAAATAGTCAGGGGCATAGACATGATAATTAAAGGCAATTTTTTCCCCAATCTGACTTTGCAAGGTTTTCGAACAAATTTTATTATTTAAGTTGTTTTTATTATATCAACAAATAGAGCACAGTGATACAGATAATCTAAAATTTAATATAATGAGAATATATTTAATCAAGATTACTTGTCAATCTAAATTATGCAATACAACTATCTCCACCTGAGACAAACTAAGAATAACACTTAAAAATTCATCTTACATAAGTAAGTCCCATAGAAAAACAAACATTTAATTTAGGGATAAAAGTGCAGGAAATCTATTTAAGACTTTTCCCCAAAAAACACTTACGGCTTTTTCTCTCCACTACTAGGGAAGAAGGCTTTGCCTAGATTTTTTCTGGCTGCTTCCATCATATCCCGTCTCCTCACTTGATTCAGATTCACGTAGCCTTCTCCTTCAAAAATCCTTACAAAACGGGGATCGAAATAACCTGCCTGAAGGTCTGACATTGCTTTGGATCCCCCAGGTAGCATCTGTTTACTTTTGCTTGCAGCCTCATTAAAAGGTCCTTTAAAAATAAATTAGGCAGATGATAATTTTGAGCTTACTAGCAATTAAAGGACATGAAAAAGAAGAGAACAGTTTCCAAATACCATTTGGGCCAATGATGAATTTTGAGCTCTAGAGCACTGTTTCGAAATATTCCCTGAAAGCTCTGTGTGAAGGGCTATCTTGACAATAAGACCTAAGTGGTTTTCATCAAAACATTGTAATATTTAAGGCCTTGGTGATACACTCTGAGTTTTAGAGCTGGTAGAGACCTTAAAGAGATCTAATTCAATGTTTCTCCAACCACAGACTAGGAAGCGCTGTGTGAGATGGCAGTCAGAGTGTGTGCGTAGGTCTAAGAGACGGGTGTTTCATACTCAAATTGAAGCAATTCCTCTCTGGGGCATATACTCAAGACACATGAGTATCCATGGCCACTAACAGACATTAACAAGAATGTTCATAGCAGTTTTATTCATAATAATAAAAAACATAAAACAGCCCAAATGTCCATCAACAGGAGAACAGATTTTTAAACTGTGGAATTTATACAGTGAAATACTAGTAGCCCAGTAATTTTTTAAAGGCTGTTTTGATAAGTATTTAAAACATCTTTCGTAATTTAGATCTAGGAGAGCTCTATTTGAGGAGAGCTTTGGTAACATGGAGAATTTTTGGAAGTGCATACAATCCCTAATTCAACTGGCTATTAAAACATGAATCTGTATCACTGACTTTTTTTTTTTTTTCTTTTTTGAGGCAGAGTCTCACTCTGTTCCCCAGGCTGGAGTGCAGTGGTGTGATCTCAGCTCACTGCAACCTCCGCCTCCCAGGTTCCAGTGATCCTCCTGCCTCAGTCCCAAGTAGCTGGGACTACAGGTGTGCACCACCACACCTGGCTAATTTTTGTATTTTTAGTTGAGACGGGGTTTCACCATACTGGTCAGGCTGGTCTTGAACTCCTGACCTCGTGATCCACCTGCCTCAGCCTCCCAAGGTTCTGGGATTATGGGCAAGAGCCACCACACCTGGCCTGTATCACTGAGCTTTTTAAACTTTTTTTTTGTTTTGACAAGGTCTCCTTCTGTCACCCAGACTAGAATGTAGTGGTGTGACCATGGCTCACTGCAGCCTCAATCTCCTGGGCTTAACTTCCTGCCTCAGCCTCCAAAGTAGCTGAGACTATAGGTGCAGGACACCATGTCCAGCTAATTTTTATATTTTTTGTAGAGACAGGGTCTCACTATGTTGTCCAGGCTTGTCTTGAACTCCTGGCCTCAAGCAATCCTCCCACCACCACCTCCCAAAGTGCTGGGATTATAGCTGTGAGCCATCACACTTGGTCAACTTAAATTTTTGAAAAGGTAATACATTCAAATAGTTTCAAATTCAAAAGTATAAACATTTTCACAACAGGTCTTTCTCCCATACTTGGCCACCCAATTCTTCTTCCACAGGCAAAGAGATAATCATTTTGTTTCCCAAAGAATGTTCAGGTATGTTCAAGCGAATGTTTTCATATGTATCCTTTTTCATTGTTTTAAATGCTGTCTCAGAAGAATCACATTGTTAATGCTTAGCACACTATATAGAACATTCTCCACCTTGCTTTTTTATTTGACAGTGTATCTTGGAGATGTCTCCAAATCAGTGTTTTATTTTGTATTATTATATAGAAGTAATTGAATATCCAAAAATTGAATGGAAACATTTAAATATTTATGTATATTAGCTCTTTTTATTATTTATGACTTTTGTAAAAATCCCTCAGCCATTCACTTAGCATTTCATTTCTCAGGAAGGTAACAATGGATGGCCTTCTTGGATGCAAATGTAAATGCTGTTTGCATAGGGGAGTGTCCCATCTAACCAAAATATTCTGGGAGAAAACTGCCAGGCACCTTTGAAAAGAAATAAAATTACCTATGAGGACAATAAATGAGGATAGAGTACCCTCATGAAACGAGATTCCTATTCTCATAAAATAAAGTTCTTGCTGGGTGCAGTGGCTCATGCCTCTTAACCCCAGCACTACGGGAGGCTGAGGGGGAGGGATCTCTTGAAGTCAAGGGTTCAAGACCAGCCTGGGCAACATAGTGAGAGTCCCCACCTCCACAAAGTATTTAAAAATTAGCTGGGCATGGTAGTGCATGCCTGTAGTCCCAGGGACTCAGGAGGCTGAGATGGCAGGATCTCTTGCGCCCAGGAGTTTGAGGATGCAGTGAGCTATAATCAGGCCACTGCACTCCAGCCTGGGGAACAGATATCCTGTTTCTAAATAAATAAATAAATGAAATCGCTTAACTCCATTGAAATTTTACAAGTTAACAAACTTCAGAACTAAATGCTTTAAAATTTAAACCACTAAACAATCATTCAATGTAAATATTAAATTCTAAATTTGATCTAGAAAATACCCACTATTCACCCATAGAGGAAAGCAAATATACTTACGATTAAACTGTGACACATATTTATCACCCACAGTAATATACTCCATCTCACTAAAGAGGCCAATCCTTTCCATGTCCGTTTTCCCTCCTTCCGCAGGCACGGTAGGCATGGTGGTGCTTTCTACACTGCTAACTTCAAAATTTCCCTGGGGTCACTTCTTTTATCGAAAAATCCTACTTTACATTGAAAATAAAAATAAAAGGGAAATGTTTAGAAAACAGTGGTTACTAATCTCCAGTTCTAATTACTTTCAGTCTGAGAGTTTTAAGGTTTACTATGAAACAAGAGCCTCATACTCTATGGGGAAAGAACCAGTCTGTGGAGTGGGGGAGAACAGTGGGATTCAGAATTACCCGTATGAGCCCTCCCCCGACTCTCCATGTGAAGTGCCCATGATTACAAAGGAATGTGTAAGATATCATCTATTACACTGCCATTTATCTGTTGGAAATGATAAAATTATTACTGTATGGTGTATTATAAACAAACCCTCCTGAGAAGTTCAGGGTAGATTTAAAAATCCTAATTACAGAACGCAGACATTTTTACAGTTTACACATAATGATTTCAGCACCCTGCACTGTCCCTTATATTGAAAATATAACAGCTTTTCAGAGTGCACGATACATCTAGGTATTACCCTACAATTCCTGAGGGTTTTTTTCAAGTTTAAATAAACATAATAAATGTGCCACTGGCAAAATTATAAAGGAATGGGGAAGAGAACAACTATTTAGGCAAGATAAGGACAAGAACAAAAATAAAAATTCCACAATGAATTCTGAGTATTTGTTAACGGTCGTACTTCAACTCTGAGCTTTCTTTGGAAATGACCACTTCAAACAAAGGTGAAATATTAAACATGCAACTCTTTGTTTAGAAACTAATTTTTTAAAGACAAAGTCTCTCTCTTTTTTTTAAGACGGTCCCAGGTTGGAGTGCAGTGGCATGTTCTTGGCTCACTACAAACTCTGCCTCCCGGGTTCAAGTGATTCTCCTGCCTCAGCCTCCTGAGTAGCTGGATTACAGACACGCGCCACCATGCCTGGCTAAGTTTTTGTATTTTTAGTAGAGACAGAGTTTTACTATGTTGTCCAGGCTGGTCTCGAACTCCTGGCCTCAACTGATCCACCTACCTCGGCCTCCCAAAGCTCTGGGATTACAGGCATGAGCCACCGCGCCTGGCCAGAAATTAATTTTTTTTATTTTTATTTTTTATTATACTTTAAGTTCTAGGGTACATGTGCACAATGTGCAGGTTGTTACATATATATATACATGTGCCATGTTGGTGTGCTACACCCATTAACTCATCATTTACATTAGGTAAGAAATTAATTTTTAATAGTAGATAGCCCGGCGCGTGGTGGGCGAAGTTGCTGTACCGTCCCACTGACGGTGGGCGAGGCCCCTGCATACACGTGAATGGCTTGAACCCGGCGAGACCCGGAGGCTCGCAGTGGCAGCAAGGATCCGCGCCACGTGTAACTCCTAGCCTGGGCGGCGAACACCGAGCGAGATTCCACCTCAAAAAACATAAAAACCAAAAAGTTAAACATATATCACATATACTATTTCTAATTATGCCTTTGTATTTCTACGGGCTAACGTGCACCCACGATGCAGGTTTTGTTACATATGTACGATAGTAATACATGTGCCATGGTGGGTGTGGCTGCCACCCTCGATTCAACCCCATCCGTCCCCGCCAATCTACCACTTCAAAGAAATAAAAGTCTTAAGTTAGTCCGGGGAAGTTCTCAGGCAAGAATTTCTTCCTTTCCTCCTGGGGCCTTCGGGCTTTCTGGTGTGCGCAGGAGGCTGCTTCACACGCGGGGGAACCGTGGAGAGGCGGGGCCAACCTCAGTCTCGCAGCAGCTCCTGCCCTCTCTCGTGGAGCCAAGTTCCCTGCGGGCAGACAACCTGCTTTCCGTGAAAGGATCCTCATGAAACCGAAAATAAGATCCGGGTGACCTACCGCAGGCCAACACGATGAAGGGCCTTTGAAGAAGTGCATGCCGCTGTGATGGAGCTCTAAAGAAGGAATTAAGAAACTCGAGCCAGCTCGGCACAAGAATAGTGTTAATTCGGCGAGGGGTGCGGGCCTGGCGAGAGAAAGGGTCGGGACCCACGCTGAAAGTAGGTGGCCTAAAGAAGAAAACGGGCATCGGACAAAATGGGTCCTGTGCTGGAGAGCAGCCAGAGCCGTCCGGACAGAAAACGAACAGTTGCACCGCCAAGGGGCCACGCGAACCGGGCGGTTTCCATGGTGCACAGATGAGGCCTGGCTGATACACCCCGCGGGGCCTGCGAAAGACATTTAGGGCCCCAATAGCAAGCACTGGAATCCGTTTGCCGGTTGGGCAGGGGAACGTGGAGGCTTTGAAATACTCAAGGTAAAATGAAAAGCTACTACATTCTTGACTGAAGTTTTGGTTTAAAAGCATCCTGAATTACCATGGAAGATGGTAGGGATCGTGGCGAATTGCGGGTTGTGTTTTGCTTTACTGTTTTCGTTACGTTTTAAAATGAAATCCTTCACTGCCCTTTGGGTGTTTAGCCCCCGTATTAAGCGCAACTGGATTCCATGATCCAAAGGCCCTGGACGCCATTGGGTGTTCAAGCGCTGGCCTTGCAGCCAGAGGCGCCGCACGCACTGAAACAGCCCAGCTGTTGCCTCTGAATGTTAAGGTAAAAGGCCCCGCGCGGGTGGGGCTCATGCACTGTAAAAATCCCAACGCACTGCCTTGCGGGAGGGCCCGAGGCCGCGTGAATCACTTTGAGGCTCAGGAGTTATTGAAGACCAGCCTGGAGGACACAACAAAATAAGAAAGATGAAAAAACGGAGCGCCCCACCCCTCAGTTTCTACTCAAAATAACAAAAAAATCAGACCGGGCAATGGGGCAGGGTGCCTGTAAGTCCCCCACCAGCTACATCTGGCGAAATGCCAGCCGGTGGCAGGAGAACTCGGGCTTGAACCAGGAGGCGGAGGTTTGTCAGTTGAGCTGAGGAAAATAGCGCCCACTCGGCGCACTCCACAGCCTGGGTGACCGAGCAAGACTCCATCCTTAATAAGTAAGATAAAGGTAAATACATCTTAAGGTAAAATTCGCCTCTCCTACCCAGCTGGACCGCCGACGGTGGCCCACAGCCTGGTCAATCAGCACTCTTGGGAAGCCCGAGGCCAGGTGGATCACCTGAAGGTCAGCAGTCGCCCCCTCGAGACCCAGCCTGGCCAACATGGTGAAACACCCATCTCTACTAAAAAATACAGCAAAGTTAGCCTGGGGCGTGGGTCGCGGGCGCCCTGTAATCCCCAGCTACCCTCGAGAGGCCCCTGAGGCAAGAAGAAAATCGCATTGAACCGTGGGTAACGTGGGAACGGTTGCAGT